AAAAAAAAAATGAAATTTTGAATGAACAAATTAATAAATTTTTACCGATCCGTGCTCGAGGAACTTTATTATTTCGTACATAATCTGCTACTGTATAACGTTCTTTTGCAACTTGTTCGGTTTTTTTCTTTTCACGTACATCAAGACGAGCTTTAGCAACTTGAAGAATAGTTTTTAAATCTGCCGTCCATTTATTATTTGGCATTTCTCTTTTTTTTTTTTAAATTAACAAAACAAAAACAAAACAATCAAAATCTAAAATAAATAAATAAAAAACAATCAATATCAATAATATTTAATCCATAATTTTTTTTTCAATGAATTTTGATAAATAATCTGAAATTTTTCAAATATAATCGGTATTGGTATTGCTAATATAATTAAACCAAATATACAAGCAAAAATTGATAAAATTCTTCCTTGATATGTATGTGGAATATATTTACCAAAACCAATTGTTGTTAATGTTTCAATAGCCCAATATAATCCTATATTTGGATCAATAATATTTGAATAAGGATCAATTCTTTCTATAAGATAAATAATTATTCCAAATAGAATAATAAATAGACAACAAAGGATTAATGTTATTGATAAACTATTTAATGATAAAAATAATGTTTGTCTTATTAAATTTAAATTTGAAATATAACGAATAAATTTTAAAATTCGAAATGATTTTAAACAAATTAAAAATGGGTATAATAAATTTACATAAGGAAACCATTGAGATAAAATATTTATTAATAAACATAATATAACAGGTGTAATTGAAATTATATCAATAAATAAATGAAAATTTTGATTTAATTCTTCATAATTTGAAAAATAAAAAAATTGTATATAAAATTCTATTATAAACCATATTGTACAACATATATCAATCCAAATAAAAATTGATTTTGATAAAATAAAATTATATATTATTTGTTCATTCGAAAGAAATTCATTATAAATAAAATCTAATCTTGATAAATCATTAAAAAATAATATTAAACAAGATAAAATAGTTATTAAAAAACTAAATAAATAAAAATATTTTATTTTTATTTTTTCATTAATAATTATTTTATTATAATCTATGATTAAATTTTTATCTTTATCATAATTAATTGGTATAGAAAAAAAACGACATTCTTCAATAAATATATCATGTGGAATGTTAATTGGTCGTTGAATAAATCCTTGGATATAATAAAATAATATATACGAGAATAATGATGGATGTCGATGAAAGAAAAGCATTTCATCATTTAAACGATATTTTTCTCGTCGATCTGGATTACCAAGAAGAGTTTCTGGATAAGCATCAAGAATTCCTATCAAGTCCAAAGGAATTCTTCTTTAACAGAATCATTAAATTAACCCAATGGCGGATTTAGAGGAAAACATTGAGCGCGATCGTCTCTTCCTTCTGAACTGTATTTTTTACCTTAATGATGGAACTCTCTCCAGAAATCTTTGAACTTTCTCTAGAAATAAGACGATTCTATATCATAGATTAGCTTCAAACGAGAGCTGAACTCCCTCTAAAAATTTTGTTTCGACTTCGCCATTATTTTCTTTAGCTGACAATACCTAAAAAATGAACCGATACAACCTCAGATTGGACTTGAAAACATGTTTTCCGATTATGATCGTCTACCCAATTATTAAAATTTCTAAATCCGCCATTGAACTAACCTGTATAAATTTCATAAATATGTCCACAGACATTAATTTTTATTCTTGGTGGTAAACCATAGATTAAATTTCGACAAGTTTTTTCTAGATTTTTCCAGTCAATTGAGTCAATGGGAAGTTTCATCTTTCATAATTAATAGAAAAGAATAAGTAGCGCGACAAAATTGATATTAATGATAGGAAATGATTCATGCTAATATTTCTTTGTTTTCATGAATCATCATACCTGACAACACACTAATGAAATATTTTTTTAAAAAATATTTTATTTAATTTTTATTTTAAAATAAAAATTTTACTAATTTTATACTATTTTATTATTTTTAGAAATATAAATCTATTGATTTTTATTAACGTTGATAGTAGCGATATAATGCATGACCTGACTCACTGTTCCTATTAATCAACGACGTCATATGTTTTTTTTATCACAAATCATATATTATTTTTGGGGGGGCTTTAAAAAGAGTAGTTTTTCCTTATCGTGATAACTCATTTAAAAAAATGGCTAGTTCGATTGCAAGCAACCATAATCAAGATGATCTTCAATCAATTCAACACCAAATTCATGAGAAAAAAACAAGTATTCTTGATTCAACTCGCCGTATGCTTGGTTTAATTAATGAATCTGAATCTGTTGGAGTAAACACTGCTGCTGTAAGATTAAGTTTTTATTTCTAAATTGAATTATTTTGAGTTTTCGTTAGTATTTTTCATTTAATCGTTTATATTAGTTTATGTTTAGTCAGGATAATACTCTTGAGTTAAACTAAAATTTAGTATTTGCCTATTTTTAAGAGAAATCTTCCTTTGTCGAATTAAATAATATGAAGGATTGAAGAAAAAAAAGTATTTACAGGAAAAAAAAAATGAGAACGAGTGTTTTGAAAAATTAATGAAAAGAATATTCATGGATGAATGATTACCATTCACAATATGTTGAATATGATCGTAATAAATTAACTATTTTTATTAGAGTATATTAGTATGATTATTTAAAGTGTGTAGCTACTTTCCTTGAAAAAGATATTTCATTTCTATAAAATGTTTTTTTTTCCTATCTACATTAACAATATGTCGTTTGATTCTTTAAATAATTCTAGATAAAACCCTTGAAATACATTTTCAAAATATATTTGTTTTTTTCTTTTTCTTTTATCTTTTTCAAGGAATTAGTTGAACAACGAGAAAAATTAGAAAATATTGAAAAACGTTGTGATGGTATTGATGCTAATCTTGTTAATGCACAACAAAATATAAATAAATTAAATTCAATATTTGGTGGTATTAAAAATTATTTTCATCCACCAAAAACTTCATTTCCAAAATCAGTTTCACAACCACAATTAAGTAATACAGGTAAAAAGAAAACAGCTACAGCACAACAAATTCCAGCAACAGCTGTAAATACACGACCAACAAATGTAAAAGATGATACTGATACTTATTTTGGAAAATCACGTAGTGCTATGGATGATATTGAACGTGAAACTGACGATGGACTTCGTAAGTTTATTTTATTTATTTAGAAAAAATAAATAAATATTATATCTTAATTTATAAATTTTAGATGATATACATCAAGGTGTTAATCGTCTAAAATTACTTGCTTTACAAATGAACGATGAACTTGAAAGTCAAGTACCTTTAACAGAACGTCTTGGTAAAAAAATTGATGTACTTAATGAAAGTGTAACCAAAAAGAATAAAGATATGAAAACAATCTTATTGCGTTAAATCAATATTCCATATAATCTTTATTTATTTATAATATGCCAATCGAGCCAATTAAAATTGAACATAAACTGAATATATCTGTTGTTTTTTTCTTCTCTCTTTTAATATGTCATTATTCTATTATCTCGCTTATTTCGTTGTACAGTCGAAATTAAATGAGAAAGAAATATAAAAATAAAAATAAAAAAACAATGTAATATCTTCTTTCTTTTTATGTAATTATAGAAATGAAAAAAGTTGACAGCTGACAGTAAGATTACCAACAGCTGTATGATATTTCTAAACAATTACGTGATATTTGTGTATACTACCTCCAACTGTTTTTTGAGCCACATGTGCTGCCTCTTGAGATAACATCAGGAGAAAAGATACAGCAGTAAACGAGCAAACGAGGTGTGAATTCGCTTTATTTATTGTTGTTGACATAATCTTGACCATTATTTATTCGTATTTTTATTGTAGCTAATGTCATAAATAATATAAAAATAATATTAACGAGAAAAATGTGAATGACACCATTACATTCAATATGTTTTAGATTAATTAATCATGATTAGTTTTTCCGATAGTGTTCACAATAACACTTCCAAAAAGGAAAATAATGATACTAAAGAACTTTTTTCCGATTTCTCTGTTCTACCGTCAACACCAATTGCTAATGTCAATAACAACCGAAGTAAGCAAACAATATTCTTTTCCTCTCGGTCATATGCCTTCTTTAGATTTGACGAAGTTCGGTGTGAATAAACTAATTCATCCACTTGATAGTCGGTCATCATCATTGTTGAGTTTGTTATTCTTTTAAAATTCTTGCAAGCATCGTTCACTCTACATACTCGAGTGCCCAACATAATTTTGTGCAATGGTGCAAACATCTTTCGCTTAGTAAAATAAAAAGAGAGAGAGAGAGGAAAGAGTTTGCGACTCATATGAAAAATGAATAAGAGAGAGAGAGAGAGAGAGAGAGAGAGAGAGGGAGAGAGAGAAAAAGAAGTAAAGAAACCTTTCGACACAAGCTAGCAAAACAAAAAAAAAAGACGGCAAGCCGTAATTTAGTAAAGTAAACAGTATGGCCTATATCAACAAGTTATTTGCTGTTGGTCAAGCTTCTTTTTTCTCATCGTCATTTATTTGCTTCTGCTTGTCGTTCTTTCTTATTCAAGCAAACAGACAGAAAGTTGATGAATACCGAAAAACTCAAAAAAAGAAAAAAAAGAATATCTTCGTTGATTTCTATTCTAATTAGTATGCATCTTATATAGAAAATATTGCGTGCTGAAAAGAGACAGTGTCCTTCATGGATACAAAAAATTGACTGCTTCTATACACACAAACGTCAGTCACTTAATGATGATAAGTAGATTATGAAGAGAAGGATCAGGGTCCTTTTTCTATGCACAACAGAAATCGTGCAATAAGAATCAGAGAGAAAAAAAGTATCAATTTCAGTCTATTGCCGGAACAGCGGCATCTTTTACAAGCACAACCATCTCATTACTCTTCACTATTTGTCATTCGATTTCCGATTGCAAGGCAAAGGAGAGAGACAACAAAAAGAGAAAAGGCATATCTCTTTTATAGAACACACGAACAGCGATTATCAATCATATCGACAATACAACGACATAGACAGGCACGCTTGACAGATTCGATGAGTTGGAAAAGGAATGAGATGAAATTCATCTCCCATTGGTCTCCAATTCATTCTTCTTGATTAACAAGATTTTTGCAAAAGACAATAATGTTACTATGTCATATACGCTTGGCTTCAATCGGTGTCAATACAATATAGGAAGATGATGATCAATGTCATTTTTTTTCTAGCTCTTCTCTGCTTCGTCGTCTTTTTTTTTCATAAGACGAGAAAGAAAAAAAAAAAAGTACAAACAGGCAGAGATATTAAATTGTTAGTGAGATAGAGAGTAAAAGAAAGAGCAAAGAAGAAAAGTTTCTCTCGTTCTCCCCCTTTTCTCTCTTTCTCTATGTTTGACACTCGCCGGAGGCAGTCGACGACTAGAGAAAGAACAGTAATAAAACGGATTTTTGCTTATCTACACGATACACTATACATTATCGCTTTTCACACAAGACTTTACGCAGTGGCACTTTCAATCAACGTCATCGTTCGTCCGTATCAAAAATGCATATGTTTCCACTCGGACGTGTTGTTTATATGCCTCTATCAGCTTCAACGGCTACTAACACTGGAGCCACAACAACTCTGTTAGGTCCCGTCCCCACAGATTTTTCATCATCTCCAACAATTTCTCTATATAATACTACACTCTTAAGCAATCCATTCAACTTGTGTGCAACTACGAAGTGTAAGTTTCCTTTTCTCTTTGCGTCTTTCCTTTTCCACTCATGATCTTGGTCGGTTTGAGTATGGAAAAGCTGAGTATTCTACACAATGCGCCTTAAGGCGCATTTTTTCAATACAATAATGAATATTGACAAGCTTACACATAAAAATCATGCAATCCGTCAAACTCTTGTCGCTTCGAATTTTTTGAGATTGAATACAGAACGCGTAATTTCATAGTATGTTGAAATGAATAAATAATAACTGAAGTATTTCTACAAGATAGATAGAATAAGAAGATAAGTTTTTGACAACTTCATTCATGCAACCGTTAGTTTTTCACATTTATTTCAACAAATTGATAATTGATACATCATCATGCATGCTTTCAGTTGAACACAATGCACTTCAACAAACATTACCGACTTTATCTCATGGGTATAAAAGAATGCGCGACGATCTTCATGACACGCAACAATCAGTTTGGCCTAAAAAAAGATCTAAACCATCACCAGCAAATTCTTCTTCATTGTCGTCAAATCAATCATCAACAAATAATAATAGCAATAACAATAATAACAATAACAACAATAATGGCGATACTTCATCGCCATCATCAAAAAATGCGCTTATGCTATTACATGAACTTAAACCTTCTGTTGAATATAAACTTGTTGCGCAAACAGGTCCATCTCATCGACCAATATTTACTATGGCTGTTGAAGTTAATGGACAAGTATTTGAAGGTATGGCTCAAACAAAAAAAGAAGCAAAACAAGCAGGTAAATATTCATTCTATTAAATAAATTGAATAAAATATAATTATTTGAAATTTTTTTTTGTCTAAACTTAGCTGCTGAAAAAGCTCTTCGTTCATTTTCTGATTTACCATTTCAATTACCCGATGATCTAGCTAATGAATCTGAAGCAACAACAGCAACAACAACAACAACAACAACAACTGTTAATACTGATAATGATATAACAAATGATAGTTCTTCATTATTGATTGAAAATAATGATAATATTCAACGAACTACACAAAGTCCTAATATTGTAGAACCACGTGAAATTCAAAGTGGTTTAAGTCCACTTTATCTTCTTAATCAACTTAAACGTGATGCACAATTTGAAGCCATAACTGATGAAGCATCATCATCATCATCATTATTAACAACAAACGAACAACGTGAATTTAAATTTGCTGTTATTGTTGATGGTCAACGTTTTATTGGTATGGGACGTAACAAAAAAATAGCAAAAACACGAGCTGCACAACTTGCATTAGAAAAATTATTTGGCATGTGCTTTGATAAAGAAGGTAAGAAATCAACTATGTATAAATTGATTAATGTCAAAGTAATATCAATCTCTTGTGTTTAATTAATTTCTTTTATTATTTATGATTACATCCGCATTGACCTTTCATATATAAGTGACATTATAGTTAGTTCAACTTAGTTACAATGTATTCGGAGATAGACTTGCTAGAAGTTTATATATATATATATATATATGTATATCTTCATTTCATAATAGCTCATCGTATCTATTTTCTAATGCATTTTCAGACTTATTTAAGGCCATTAAGCTTTTCTGCTCTTTCTATTTAATACAATTGCATTTGAATGGTTTTAAGTTGAGAGTAAATAAGATTCACAAATAGAGAAAAAAAGCATTTAAATATGTGATGTTTCTAATTCAAAATTTTATATTAGGATTAATTATATCCTAGAAATTTATAATAAATTTTTACTTGATAATTTTGGAACATAAGTGTAATACGTATATATATATATTTATTCCAAATAATATCAACAACAAGAACAGTTTGATTTGTTTTACTATCCATTAAACTTTTCAAATATTTAAACACATGTTTGCATAAAAAACTTGTTATCTTAACAAAAAAACTATTAACACAATCCCTGGAGGATGAAAACGTGAAACACAATGCAACTGTTCTTGCTGATCACAGGGAAATCGTTTTATTCTATCTATTTTGGGACACATTTCTTTATCATCCTTTTACTTAATCCTACAGAAATGCAATAACGAAATAGTTCTTGTATTATAAAGGAACATTATTGATATACGATCTGTGATAGAGATCTACGAAACAATCTCACGTTGCTCCACGCGATTGTTCATGCATGTGCGTGTCGTACGCCTCTTTTGTCTTTTGTTTCGTAAGACTTTCTTGATGATCTCTAGTCTATGACTGAAGAGGATCCAAATTTTATCCTTATACTTCTACACTACTTGTAGATCGTGTTTCACAAAAAAAGAATATCAACCTTATCGTATATATATTTATATATATACATGATTACGTATATAATAAACTTGATTTTACATTGAAAAAATATTTGAGATGATTGACCTTACTCTTCTGTTTTAAATCCGAATAAGAACTCAACAATTAATAGTCAAGTACAAATCTTTGTTTGCAGGTGGTATTCCAATAGAAAGTGATACTCTTCCAACTGATCTACCTTATTCACGTCGTAATCTTGCTGATCGTATTGCAACATGTATACAAGATAAATTTAATCAATTAACTCATAATGATGTACGTATTCAACGACGTAAAGTTTTAGCTGGTGTTGTTCAAACACGTAATTATGATCTTGAAACAATGGAAGTGATTTGTGTAACAACAGGAACAAAGTGTATTAATGGTGATCGTCTTACACTT